GGCCGGTGCCCAGAATCCATCCTGGGTGAGGGAATCCATTAGTTCCGGCTGTGGAAGCCTCATGGAGCTGTAGCAGCTGTTCGGCGAGGCGTGGGCTCTGTAGGGGGGAGGGTTGGGAGCCACGAGACTCACCCATTTCTCCTTGGGAATCCTTGAATTCCTGTTGTTGAGCCTTGATCTTCACTGAGGGCCAGTCATCAACTGTTTAAGTGCTCAATTATCAATAAGCTGAAGTCTGTGGAAGGCCATAATGGCCCTGCTTTAAGTGGTTCGCTGCTCCCGCTGCTCACCACGCTGTCTCTGCCTCTGCCGCCATCTTGGATCTCTCTAAACATTTCTTCATGTGCTTGTTAGCCATCTGAACGTCTTCTTTGGTGAAATGTTTGTTCATATCCTGTGCCCATTTTTTTTCCCATTTCTAAATTGGATGATATACCTTTATCTTGTTGTGGTGCTCAAGTATTTTATAAGTCCCTTATCTGACATGTCATTACCAAATACCTTTTTCCAGTCTATGGCTTCCCTTCTTTTTACCCTGTTGGAGAAGTTTTTGGATGTGCATAGGGATTTGATTCTTAGAAGATATCATTCATCTATTTTATCTTCTCCTGGTTGTAGGTGCCCAACGAACTTTTAATCACAAAGGCCTACCCACCAGGTTCTGATTGGTTTAAACTAGAGGCTTCCAACCCACAATTGATTGTTAATGAAATAAAAAAGGATTTAAAAACTTATACCTTATTGTTAATTAAAAAAAATTGACCAATATTACACTTCATTGTTAATTAAATCCAGACAATTTACCTTCCAAAATCCAACTACTTCAAACAAGAAGCTCCAAACAAGAGACTCTCAGGCAGGACTGAACAGACTTTTAATTACAAAGACTTGTCCACAGGGTCCTGATTGATTTAAACAAGAGGCTTCCCACCCACAACTGATTCAAACTGCTTACACCTCATTAATTAAATAAAAAATGAACAAACAGCTTAGACTTGAGTGTTAATGAAATAAAAAAATGACCAAACAGCTTACACCTGATTGTTAATTAAATCCAAGCAATTTGCATCCTATAATCCAGCTGTTTCAAAGAAAGTCTCAAAACAAGAGAAAGCATCAAAAGAAGATTGATTACATAGAATCATTGTACCTAAAAGATCTGATTGACACGGAAAAATTTCAGCAAGCACAATATGAGTAAGGAGACAATGGTAATGAAGGAAGAATTGGAAGCTTCATTGAAGACACTGTTAAAAAATAAGGGCCCAGGAATCAATGTAATACCAGTTTTACTTGTTTCAAGTAATAGATACAGCCCTGGATGCACTCATCAGTCCATTCCAGGAAATCTGTCTGGCCAATGGATTAGAAGAGATACACATTTGTTCCCAAGAAAAGTGATCCAACAGAATGGGAAAACCATCAAACAATATCATTAATATCACGTACAAGAAAAATATTGCTTAAGATCATACAAAAACAAGTAAAGCAGTATATAGATAGGAAACTGTCAGAAGTCCAAGCAGGATTTAGAAAAGGTTGTGTTACCAGAAATATCATTGCTGATGTCATATGGATCCTGGGTGAAAGTAAAGAATACCAGAAGAATATCTATTTATTCTTTATTGACTATGCAAAAAGGCATTGCCTATGTGAATCATAACAAGTTGTGGCTGACATTGAGAAGAATGAGAGTCCTAGAGCACTGTGCTCAGTGAAACCCAAGTTTGGGCCTAGAGGCCGTTGTGTAACAGAACAAGGGAACATTGCATAGTTTAAAATTAAGAAGGGAGTACATCAGCATTGTATACTCTTGCCATACCTATTCAACGTGTATCCTGAGCAAATTATTCAAGAAGCTAGACTGTATGAAGAGCAATGTGGTATCAGGATTGGAGGTAGACTCATCAATAGTCTCTATTATGCAGATAACACAGCTTTGTTTGATCTTTATACCTTACATTTTTGACAGCCTCCTAGTTTCCCAGATGCATGCTACCATCCACCCCACAATTAAATTATTAATGAATCATGACATCTGTTTCTTCTTATTTTGGGTCTTGCAAGATGAGAAAACGAAGGCCTTTGAGAAAATTTCATTTCATCAGCATCATTAGAGTAGTCTACTTGGAGGAGTCAGTTCTTCCTTACTTTATGTATTTAGTTCTTTCTAACCTGGGATGTGCAGCATCTGGCATTATACCAAACAATGTGTCAAGATTATTCATAAGGTTTTGAACGTCTTTCTTTTTATTTTATTTGCCAATTAAGTCTTTCTTTTTATTTTATTTGCCAATTAATCAAAGGGAAAGTCAAGATATAAATATGATGTTGAACCTCTGTGAGGTTGTATTTATACAGTCAGAAATAGTTTTACCAAATCATATTGAATGATATCTGTTGGGGAATGTTGGAGAGGAAGGAAGGGAGGGCCTCTGGCCAGGACAGATCGCGTAAGCTCCAGATAAGTGCAAGCCTCCCAGCACCCTTTAATGCGGGGTAGAGAAAGCGCTCCTGTGTTTGACTGTACCGACTTGAGAAAGCTCGCCACCTTGCAAGACTGCTGCCGCCTCTATTGAGCTGGGAGTGGTCCGCAGGAGTCTGAGGTTTTCCTAACCAATCCGCATGTAAGTCCACCCTATCCTGTCTTCCTGTTTACCTGCTTGTATATAAGTGCGCTGCAGTCCCCAATAAAAATGGAGCTGGATTGACTCTCTGATCCTCTCCTGGAGTGGTGTGTCTCTGTCGTGCTTGTCCTCATCAGGGGGTCGCTGTTGGTTGCCGGGCGAACCGACAGCGACAGATACCTATCTATGTTCTATCTTTCCCACTTAAAAAAAAATAAAATTCTTTTATATTGGTTTGCTTTCAAAGTTTGTATATATTGAGTTTCACACTATTATTCATGTTGTGTTTCATTCAATCATTCTCCGTCATATGTTTTATAAAAATTAATCACCATTGGACTATAGTCACCATTACATTTTTATTGTAATATGAGTGAAAGTACACAAAGCAAATTTTTTTCAGATGTAGTCAATTTTATAACATTAATGAAATATCCATAATGTAATTACATTTTTCCTGATTCCTCTGATCAGTTCTCATGTCTAGCAATATTTGTTTGTCTTGCTTGTATTTCCCTGTGACTTCTATTTCTTTAATAGTATTATATAAGTTTGCCCTCACTTTGGTGGCCTAGTAGGTAAGGAGTTGCACTGCTAACCGAAAGGCAAGAAGTTCAAATCTTCTTGTGTGATTTATGGCCTCTGAAAAGACACTGGAGGATGAGTTACAAAAGATGGCAGTGAGTGAGTGAGCAAGTGAGTTTAAATGACTGTACCGACTCCTACTTGTTGAAGATTTAAGATCAAATTCTTCATCACAATCACCTTCACTTACTGCACATACAGCTTTTAAATAATTGAAAAGTTCAAGCCTTTTCTTTCATTAAGTAAAGTTAAATAAAAATTGTATGCACCTGTTCTCACTGACCTACAAAGTCCGTTTGAAACTTAAAGGCCTAGGCGGGAATGGAACTTGTTTGTAAGCTGACAACAGCCTCTAGCTTATCTAGATATATTTCCCTCAAGAATATAGAGCCTAGCTCTTCACTCCTCATGTGTGGATAGCACATAGTGACTTCTCTACAGCATGGAAAAGAGGGAAATAGTGACTTTACAGGGCAGAGCCCTGCCATGCCCTGTCAAGGTCAACATCAGCAGTGACCAGTCAAGTTGATTGTATGTATTTTCTTGGTAACCTGTGATGAAAATAGTAGTTTTCCTTCCAGGTCTAACTCCCAAAGTATAGAAGCCTATTCTAACAAAGAGAAAAGCGTCAGAAAAAGGATTCTGGAAGGATATTTTGTAAAATACCTGTCCTGTTTACCTTCAAATTATCAATGCTGTCTAACAACAGAAAAAGTCTGAGAAATTGTTAGAGCAAAGAGGAGCACAAAGGGAAATGACTACCAAATGTAATAAGGCATTCCTGAGGACAGGTGTTGGTAATAGGTAGAACTGAGCCTCAAAAATGTTTCTTTTACTGAAGCTATTAAAATATTAAAGTTTACTGTAATTTAGAGTATGAGTCACATCAAAGGGGGCTTAGTGGTAAGAAGTTGTGCTGCCAACCCAAAGGTTGTTGCTGTGTTGCTATATGCCATAGTGACCCCATGTCCCATAGCTCTGAACCCCGCTATATCCTGAGGCAGTCTCACTGATTTGGACACACCTAATCCCATTGCCCCAGTTAATGTGTCAATCCATCTCATTAGGGATCTTTCTTTCCCGTGCTACCCCTCCACCCTTCCGTCATCATGTTATTCTCCAAGAACTGGTCCCTCCTGGCCACATGCCCACACTATGAGAGATAGAGCTTAAAAATCCTAGTCTTCAAGGAGAAACTTGGCTCCATCCTCTCCAAGACAGACCTGTTTGTTCTCATCTCAGTCTCGGGTATGTTCAAGACTCTTCTTCAGCACAATTCAAAGGCATCAATTTTTCTGTTATCTTTAGTCATTATTCAACTCTCTAATGCATAGCAAGTAATTGCAAAGATGATGGCCTGTATCAGGTCCACTTAAGTCTCTAGACTGATATCATTGCTCTTTAGCACTTTGGAGAGGTCCCTGACAATAGATTTCTCCAATGCAATTTGTTTTGTTTTTTTTTTATTTCCTGACTGCTTGTGCCAACAGTGTTAATTGTGGAGCATGAGCAAGCTGAAATTGTTAACCATTTCAACCCAAATGTAGATAGTTAAAATCCACAAGCAAATCAGAGTGGAAAATATGGACAATCTCCTTCTATGCTATTAATAACCTCTGAAAATCTGCTGGAGAGTCAGCTATGAGTTGGTTCCAACTCCACACCACCTGACAATAATAGTCAAATCACAAGCTGTAGGTATGAGTCCAAATTCCACTACAAGCCTTGTATGAGCAGTATCATTGTTGAAAAGCCCACATTTTCAATCCATAAAATCAGAACACCTCTAGTTTTATCAAGTTATTGGCATATTCACAGAAAACAATGAATATAAAATATTCAGCATTTGCCTATTATTATCCAGTGATTTTTAAAAATACAATATGTTTCAACTTGTAGCTTCATCCCTATTTCTTCATCCCCTCCTTCCAGTGTGCAATTTCAATTTCTCATTATCTTTCCATGACTTGACAACAGCTATAATCTGTTTCCCACACTGACCAAAGTTACCTTTCTGTGTTGTTGTTGTTGTTGTGTGTCGTCGAGTCAGAACCAACTCATAGCTAATGCTCCAGTGGGTTTTTGGAGGCAGCTGAGCAGACGGGGGGTGGGGGTGGGGAGACTGCCCACCCTCCTGCAGAGTAGCTGGTAGATATAAACAGCTTGCCTTTGCAGTACAACTTCTTACCACTAGGCCTCCAGAACTCATTTAATCTTTCTCCAGGCGGCCCTAATTATGGACATCCTCTGCCATATGCTCTGCAATGACTAACCACTAATTTTTAATTAATTACCAATCCTGTAGCAAAAATATAATGCTCTGTTATGTAGCTGTTACCTCTTTGACCAGGTTCATATGTGAGTTTTTGCCACTGGCTCTCATTGCTTTTCTATATTAGATACTGTTTGTCATTTCTCAGCACACTTTGCAGTTCAAATTTATCTGTGGGTTCACTATCCTGCTGTCTTTTCCTGGAGTGCTCCTATCTTTTGTCCACATGGAAGACTGCAACTCCTCCTTGTAGGCTCAAAAGCTAATAACCCTAAGCTTCTCTATGAAGTCTCTACTAAACTCTAAATGAAAACTTGGTAGAATAACTTTTCATCATTAAGCTTTCTTTGTTTTCCTTGCTGATGACCTTACCAATACAAACAGCATGGTGAGTCCCACATTCCCCAGCACCTGTGAAGAAGAGCTGCCTGTGTAGCTGTGATCAGGGAACCACTTGAGTTCACTGATGCAGGTTTTTCTCAGGTAATTGATGGAATTGGAAGCTCTATTCCAAGGAAGAGCAGGGAGATGGAATAATTTATGAGGCCTCCGGAGGATACAGCTGTGCTTCTCATTTTTTTAAGATTAATTAAATATTGTTGAGAGTCCCCAAACACTCTCAACAACATTTCATTATATATACAACTTCTGTGAGCTTAGAGGCTAAATTCTCATGAACCCAATTAATGAAAGGCTCTTTCAACTTTCTGCTAATTACTTAAATCTAAAGGGAAAAGATGGTATGCAAACTTGTGACTGTTTGGCCCTTGGGAGAGAAGCTCTTTTTCCCCCCCTAAGAACTTTGTAATTTTTAAATTGTTATTTTAATGGGTTTACCAAAGAAATGAGTTTTTATTCATTCATTGATACACATTTTTCTCTCTCTCCCTCTCTTCCCACTCCCCCAGTTTACTTTGCAATGCACTTTTTGTTCCAGGTTGTTAATTGTCATACATATAATGTCTAAT